CTGCAGAATTCTATGATTCAGGCAAAGATTTAAAAAGAGTCGTGGGAGGAATGTGATTAATTGGTAGGAAAGACCTTATAGTCCCAATATGGGGAAGTCAAATCATCTTACAGTGAAACAGAAAGTTGATGAGCTCCTCTACAATAATTAACACATGAACAATATTCCACTATACCAGTGGATTACAACTGAGAGAGTTGCAACACACAAATCTACTTGGAAGTATAAAAGCAAAAGGGGAAGGGAAAAAAGCAATCTAGAGGAAACTGAAGACTGGCATAGATGGTTTCAGCAAACATTAAACACAGCACAATCCTAGTGAGATCAAAATAACATCTCACAATAAAAATCCAGATTTCCTTAGTTCCTACATCATACTTACTGTTTTTGTTGTGGGTTCCTGGATCCAATGCAATAGGGTATGTGGATGGTTCCCTACATCAACCAGCAATTGTTGGGTATCAGCAAGGTGTCTGGAGAATTCAACTCTGTTCTGACACTGCCTCCCTGGAGTTAGTGTCAGATTCCACAGGTTAAGGGCTTAGTTTTCCAAGACTGCCTTCCACTGCCTGAAAAACGTGGGCACACCCAGGCAGTTACTGTGCTTCTGACCAACTGCCTATCAGAGATTCCCATGACCCCTTCCTCAGGCTTCAGGTATCTGTTTGTAGAGGCAGGAAAACCACAGTGCAGGTTTTCTGATCCAGCAGACCGGGTAATGGAGGAGTCAGAGTACTCAGTAGTTTTTGTAGGTCTTTTATTGGGATTTACTGGATACATGGCAGGTAGGGGTGTTGGGGGGCCGGGAGACTGGCAGTCCTCCCAGCCCCCAGCAAATCCTCACTCTATCTGGGTTCTCTGGCATTTTCTCTGCTTCTCTTCTTCTCTCAGCTTCCGTTCTTTCTTGGCTTCTGCTGGCGTCCCCGCAACACCGCCCTTATAAACTCAGTCTCTCAGCCCAGGTGTACCCACTTCAGATGCCCACCATCAGGCATGCATTCAGGACCACAGGGTTTCCTCATCTATACTAATGGTGGGAGGTTAGAAAAGTCTGATACTTTTTCCTTACCCTACACTGTTGCAAGCCCAAATTATTATTTATGCTTCTGACTGATAGGCTAGCTATCAGAGATTCTCATGACTTTCTCCTCAGGCTTGATTAATTTGCTGGAATGGCCCAGAGAACTCAGGAATCCCGTTACTCACCAGATTTACCAATTTATTACAAATCACATTATTTGGGAACAGCCACATGGAAGAGATGATAGGTCAAGGGCTGGGGAGAAGGCACAGAGCATCAGGCTCTCTCTAGGAGCACTGTTCTCCCCAGCTCTTCACACAGTCACTAACCCAGAAGCTCTGCAATGTCCTTCCTTTTGGGCTTTTGTAGACGCTTCATTACATAGCACAATTAACACATTGGCCATTGATGACCGAACTCAGCCAGCAGTCCTGCTTACCTCCCTGGAGGTAGGGAACTAGAACTACAATACATTCCAACCCTATGATCATATGGTTGGTTCCCCTGACAACAAATTCCCATCCTTAGGTGCTTCCACAAAAGTCACCTTGTTGATATAAGAAAAGACAATCTTAACACTCTCAATACTTAGGAAATGCCAAGGCTGTCAGGGGAATTGTGAGACAGGAATTGTGGATAAAGACCAAACATGTATGAAAAATGTATTTTGGTCATCAAAGTGATGAAATATGTATGCATATAGTTCCTAAATCACAACATCATAGGTGTAAAAAAGAGTTATGAGGAATGTGAAAAGGTAAGAAAAATGCAGCCTGAAGAGACAAAGCAGAATTAGACTCAGAAATGATAAAGATTTTCCTATCTGATAGAAAATTAAAAATGATTAATATATTAAGGGATCTAATGAAAAAAAGTAGGCAACGTGTGTTATGCACTGAATGTGTACCTCTCCATTCATATGTTGAAGTCCTAGTCCCTGTGTAACTATATTTGGAGATAGGGTCTGAAAGGAGGTACTTAAGCCTAAAAAGGTCATGATGGGTCCTGTCTGATAAGATTGATGTTCTTTTTTTTTTTTAAGATTTATTTATGCATATAGAACCTGGGTAGAGCTAGAGGTGTGTGGGGGGGTAGTGGTGAGAGGATTCACCAGAGACAGAGTGGGGAACAGAACAGGCAGACTGACTGAAATATACTGCTGAGGGGAGCAGCGGGCGTGTCAGGAGAGGGCTGCTGTGCCATGTGGGTCACCTCCCTGGCCAGCCGGGGCATCAAATTCGTGCTGCAGTGGCTGGGGGGTAGCTTCATAGTGCTCCTCTTAACCCCTTGCGCTACCAGGGAGGCCCAATTATGGACATTCTTTACTTTTTTTTTTTTTTAAAGGAAATCCCCAATGAGCTAATAGGGGACAATTTCCTGGTTTGCCTTTTTTTTTTTTTTTTTTTAAAGTTTTAAGAGTGCTAAATGTACCTTAGGTTTGGGGAATGATTTAGTGTTGGTTTCTTATTTCTTTTTTTTATTTATTTATACAAGAGCTGGGATACAGGCCAGAGGCACGGGAAGGTGAGAGGATTCACCAGAGACAGAGTGGGGAGCAAAACAGGCAGATTGACCGAAAGCACTGCTGAGGGGAGCAGTGGCTGCGACAGGAGAGGTCTACCACGCCATGTGGGAATTTCCCTGGCTGGCCAGGAATCGAACCTGAGCTGCAGAGGCTGTGGACAGCTTCACAGCGCTGTGCTCAACCCCCTGTGCCACCGGGGAGGCCCTAAGTGTTGGTTTCTATCGCTATTGGAGGAACCTTTTTCTTGATTCACTGGAAATGACCTAATTTCTCTGTTTAATTTTATTTAAAGTGTCCTCAAAGGGCTCAGATTTTGAATGACTAAATTATTTAGAATCATTAAAGAAAGCCAATTCTTGCAAGCCAAATCATCTTTGTAGATGAAATCCAAACTTGCATATATTGAACTACATCATCATAGTAAATAAATTAAAAGTTTTATTTTTTTAAAGATTTATGTTTTATTTATACAATAGCTGGGGTATAGGCCAGAGGTATGGGATGGGTGAGAGGATTCACCAGAGACAGAGCGGGGAGCAGAACAGGCAGACAGACCAAAAGCACTGCTGAGGGAAGCAGAGGGGAGCAGAGGGGAGCAGCAGGTGGACAGGAGAGGTCTGCTGTGCCATGTAGGAATCACCCTGGCCGGCCAGGGGAATCTGCATGATTGCACTTGCAGAGGCTTCACAGCACTGTGCTCAACCTGCTGCACAACCAGGGAGGCCCCAAATTAAAAAAGTTTCAGAAGGAGGAAGAGGACTCTAATCTCTATAGATGAACCTATATTGATGAAAAGATAAAAGAGATGAATAAACCATACTCAAAAGTGAACCATAATCCATTTCATCTGCCTCCTGATTCCAAGGTGTACCACCTGTATCACTTAGTGATTCAGTCCTGAAATAAAAACTCAAAGTCCCCTCACTGGTATCCCACTCTGGGTACAGTCAGTCATGTACAACTATCATCAACTCAAAACAAACTCGGCCAAGAATCAGATTTAGTGTGCAAGTGCCAGTGACCTCAGAACTGAGACTCAAGGGGGAGCCAGGGAAGGTGAGCTGAGATGAAAAGGCCCAGGTCTGCATAGAGTGCACTTTCAGGGTATACGTTTCCCTCCCCCCCACTAGACTTGACTCAGATAGGCACTATATCCAAATATAAACTGTCAAAGAATAACTCAGAAGCTTTTAGTTACTTGCACACTGTTTAATATTTTCCCTGCAAATGACTGACATGTGAAAGAGTCAGTGGAGAGTCAGACACAGGCATAAGGAGGATGTGGTAGGTGCCGAACTGCTGGTCTCCAGGGAACCAATGACCCTCCCAGCATGTGCACCTCAGTGTAGCCCCTTCCACATGGAATGTGAGCTCATCTCATCACATGTTTTGGTCATAGGGACAATAACACAGGTGACAAGAACAGAGGTTTGATAAGAACTTGTATCTTGCGGCTTGTCCTCTTGGAACATTCTTTGTGAAAGCCAGAATCCATGCAAAAGTTCCAAACACCCTGAGACAATCATGCTGTGAGCATGTCAAAACCAGCTACATAGTGAGGCCACATGGAGAAGCAATGAGGTGTCAGACATGCAAAAGAAGCTTCATGGGTCTTCCAGACCAGGTACTGACCACCAGCTAAATGCAGCTGAATCCAGCTGAAGCCACATGGAACAGAAGAACCATATAGTCGAGTCCTCTCAGAATCCCTAGCCACAGACTCGGAGTAAATCATTGTTTCAAGCTACAATGTTTTTGAGATTTTACGAGCAATAAGGCAATACAGTATTGGTCAGAGAAAGGGAAGACAGGAAACTGCACTGGAATAGTGAATTTTGTATACTTTTGCGGGAAACTGATAACTGGTATCTAGCAATGAGGTGGGTCTGAAATTCTGTCATTAAATTTTCTTGGGATAGTAAAGAAAACGATTTTCATTGCTTACTGATTCTCAAGAAAATTCTGAGGATTAACCTAGAGAGCATACTTGAATCTGATGTCTACCAGCATCATTTCTTTAGCTTCCTTGACCTGATTAGTTCGAGTTTGTATTATTTCCCTTATTAGAATTTTATAGATGAAAACTGAGGTTGGGGAAAGACGAACTTTGAGGGGGTCTGGAGGATCTGAAGCCCTTCCCCACTTCTTTTCCTCATTTAAAAACAGCCTAAGTTGCATCGGCCCAGACTCTTAAGTCAACAACTAGAGTTGCCATGTGGTGTAATGTCCTAAGGCAGCTTCCACCATAGGCAGGAAATGTCACACAATAGCAGGGAAGAGTACTTGAGTCAGGATCCTGGATATGGGAGCTGCCTGGTGAGACCCACTGGTTTATGGTAATCAGTATCTCCCTGAATGTGCGAGTATGAGAATGGTAAAGATAAGAACAAAAAACTAAGGGGACATTACCAATAGAAACCAAGGAAAATAGAATTAAGAGCTGAAATACTCATAGAACAGAATCACACAAAGTGAAACAATTAAACTTTATTTGGAAAACAGGGTGACTTCATCACTGGTGATTAGAGCTTTGAGGCTGCACTTTCTCCTCAGGAAGGTGGCCTGGAATGGGGTGGGCTGTGTTCGGCAGAGGCTGTGGTGGTCTGGGATCTGGGTAGACAAGCAGAATTAGAGCTGAAGGCTTTGGCATCTCTCACACCAACCCAGAACTCATCTATGCTCTCAGCTTCAGCTATGTCCCCCATCATCCCTAGCCACTCGGGGTATCCCCCATTCTCCTTTACCACCTCTCACCTGCTTGGTTCCCCAGCTGGGCCTCAGGCCGGTCTCCCCAGAGCACATGTCCAGGATTGTTAAGGAACCGCTGGCTTCTCTGGCATGTCAGGCAGGTCTGCACAGTCCAGCGCTGTCCCCTGCTGCCTGGAGTGAAGGTGCAGGAAAAAAAGTGCCAGGAAAAAAGCTCTCCTTTTAGGAGGAAAAAACGGTCTCTACATTCAGTTTTACCTTCATTGTTTTCCAGCAGGAATTCGATCCCTTCCCCAATGGAAGCAAATTTGATGGTGTTAACCACCCCTCGGTTCTGCCAATTTTGCCAGTTTCTTGGGACTCTTTGAGATAAAGCCCAAACTCCTTCACAAGACTTTTTATGATTGGTTGTTCCATCTCCAGCTTCGCCCCTGCCTACCTCAAACTCCAGCCTCCTGAATTACTATTTCCTTGTGACAGCCCAAGTTTCTGAGTCTTCACACATTCCTAGAATTTCCATCTCCTACTCCCTTTAGTTAACATGAACCTCACCACCGCTGGCATTAAGTATCACGGCATTCCACTCCCCCAGACCCTTAAAGCATTTCCGACACTCTTTTAGTTATTTCTACTTTAGTCTGTCCCCTAAGACTATAATTTCCACGGGAAAAGTGAATCCAGCATAAGACTTGAGACATCTTAAAAAGCCCTGTTGAGCGAGTGGGGTGAATGGAGCGGGTGAGGGAATCCTGTCCTCCAAGGGACAAATCACACGCGTCTATAGGTGAGCGCGGAGGCAACACCCTGCTCGCCTACTCAAGCAGGGAGTAACAGTCAGGCTCCAACCTTAGTCTGTGCGAGGGCAGTTAGCAAAGCTGGAGAAAAGCCTGCTCGCGCAAATCCCTCGCCACCGCCCAGGTGAATCCAGGCCGGGGCCGCTTGGCCGCCCCCTGGTCCCCAACCCCGGTGCCCTCTCGGCAGAAGCACTCACGTCTCTGGCGCTGGGTGCAGGTCAGGCCCGGGACGAGCAGGGACGAGCAGCCGCGGCAGAGGGTCCTCTTCACCGAGGGGTCTCTGCGGGTGCAGAGGGAAGGTGTCCGGGCGCCCGCGCCCCCCCGCGCGTTCTCCCCTCCCGCCCGCCAGGCCGGGCCCGCCTCACCGCCGCAGGACGAGCCGCTTCGCGATGGTCCTCTCCGTGTGGCAGTAGAACCTCGCCAGCGCCTGGTTCTCGGGGTCCTGCGCAAGGACGCAGTGGGCGGCCTGGGGACGGCGGGCAGTCAGCGCGGGCCCCGCCGCAGCGACGCCCCTGCGCACCCGACGCGGCCCACCTGGTACAGGAAGCTGAGCCTCTGGAAGGCCTCCCGGTCCTTCACCGGCCCCGCCATGCGCGCCGCTAGGAGGGCCTCAGGCCCCGCCCCTCGGGCGGCCCCGCCCCGGCGCCCACGCAAAGCCTCCCGGGAAGTGTAGTTCCTGGGCCCAGACGCGTTTGAAGGTCTTACTCTGGCGCCACCCCCAGGACAGTGGTCTTTGAGTTTTGGCTCTTTATAGACTTCTAGTTTATACTAGCGAATGGAGCAGCTAGTGAAGCAGGAGAGGATCTTAACCTGGTAAGTATCTTCCAGACACAAGACTGCTGTCTTTATGCAGGTAGGTTGTTAAGGATGGTTTAGTGGAATTTATATCCAGCTCGATCTTCCACCCTACTCTCCTGAAGCCAAGGGTGCATGCCTGAAAGATCTACAGACAGAAGGAAGAGATTACACACTATAAAAAGTACTGGTACCAGGGGGAGAGAAAAGAGGGATACCGGCCCTCAGAAAGCACAACTTACTTCCACTCACTAAAAAACACACACTTCCTTTTTTGCAGTGCTGGACAGAGTAGTGATCCTCAGATTCCTGATCTCAGGTTCTAGAGCACAGAAACCTCTACTCCTGCCCCTGAAACTACATGCCACCCCAACAATCATAGCCCCCCATTCCCGCCCTATGATCAGTGTCTCCCATTTGCTCCATTTGGCACCTGTATTTACCTCTGCTTCCCAGTTAGTGACCACATTTCTGAGGACAGCAGTAGAGGGATGTGAACTGGAGGGGCAGAACATAAATGAATCCTGAGTCAAGGAGAAGAGGGAAGCATGTCAGGAGAAGCTGAGGCCTGTCCCTGTCCTCAAACCCATCACAATTAGCAGAGAACCAGGCCTGCCACCAGGAAGACATTGTTGGGACCTCCTCTAGGATGGGTTTTATAATGGTCCCTAGACTCAAGAGGTTTAAAATGCAGATGCCCAAGCCCCAGACCTATCAGTAACTGAAGGTGAGTACCCAAAAAAATGCATTTTTAATACCCAGTGATCATTACATATCACCAAAGGCCGCTATCAAATTACCACACAACAGAGATCACTTCAGTGGATCCTTTGTTCCATATTATCTTTACCCATCAGAGCTTCTTGCCACAAAGAACCACAGTCAAGGCACAAAGGTAAGAGGAGAGTCTGGACAAAGTCTGTTGAGGTGGCAGGAGGAACTGAAGTGTCCTCAAGAACTACAGTTTATTCAGTTTCTTATCCCAATCTTCTGCGGACCCCTGATTACCCAAGTAGCAGATAGTCCAGTCATTTTGATTTGGTTTGGCATGCACCGCTTTACCGTTTTTTGACAACATATGTACCCTACAGGTTGTTTTGGCCTAACATTAAAATGCTTTATATTCTCTGATAGGGGAAATGGCAGAAGGTGAAGTGTGGCAACAAACAAGGGACAGGCTCCCCAAAAGGCTAGTTCCAGGCCGAGTGCACACAGGCAAAAGGAAGCTGCCTCTCTAGCCCTTCCCTATATACACCCCCTCCACTTCCCTGTCTTGAGGGTGAGGAAGACTATTTCCTTACTCCCTTTCTGGCTTACACACCTTTGCCAGGTAACAAGGCTGACAATTGGGAGTAGCAACTTAGTACCATTCTTTAAGGCCAGGGCTTTGGATAGAAATTTTTCTTTTCCTCTAACACCTGACTTCTCCTTTCCAAGTTCCCTTGCGAAAACTGTGAAGGGAAGACATTTCTTGCAGGATCTCTGATACATTGCTCCCCATTCTGTCCTCCCTGCAGCCTGGGCAGAAAAACGTGGTTACAAGACAGCCAAGGCGGCGCGGAATGACGTGTACAGAGCGGCCAACAGCCTCCTGCGTCTGGCACTGGATGGCCGCCTCAGCCTGTGTTTTCAACCCCCGGGCTACAGTGATCAGAAAGGTCAGGCCTCTGTGTTCTTCCCCAGCCCCTGCTGTGATATGCCCCCCTCCCCGGGCTTTGTGGCCACTCAGTGAGGGCCAAACCTGGCTTCTGTACTTGTTGGCCAACTCAGTTACTGAGCATCTCTCAGGTGGTTTCCTCATGTGCAAAACCAGGGTGCTAGTTGCCCACTGGCGAGTTAAGGTGTGCAGAGCTTCTGGTCATTGCCCAGCACGCGGGAGCATGGGGGAGCGAATGGATGAATGAATGGACGAACAAATGAATGCCAGCAGCTATAAAAATTATGTTACCCTTCATCGTTGCCTTTCCCCTGTTTTTGTCTGTCTTGGTCAGTAGTTCCTTGCTTAAAACTCTTCCATTCCTTCTCTTGTTCTGATTCCAAGGCACCTGGGAGTCCCATCCGGAGACCACGGAACTGGTGGTTTTGCAGGGCAGAGTGGGGCCGGCGGGTGACGAGGAGGAGGAGGAAGAGGAAGAGCTGAGCAGCTCCTGTGAGGAGGAGGGAGAGGAGGATCGGGATGCAGATGAGGAGGGGGAAGGGGATGAGGACACCCCAACCTCAGCTCCTGGGTCCAGCCTGGCAGCCCGAAACACTTTTGCTCTGCTGGGCGAGGACGAGTGCTGAGGGCCCGCCCCGCGCTGTCTTCCCCATCCACTGTCTTTGCTTTTGGACTGACCTGGGGTGTCTCCCCTCTGCGGCCCCAGTTGTGAATAAAGATTGTCTGCTTTGTAGCCCCTTCCCCAGATGGACTGGGAGACAGCGGCTGTTTCAGCCGACCGCTGTGGGAGGCTTCTCTCCTTCTGTTTTCCTGCAGCCGCTTTGCCAAGAAGTTGTTTGGAGTTCATGCAGTGGGCGCTGAGACCCGCTTCCCCTGCTCACCTCCCATTGCACCTTAGGAGTCCATATCTCCGCGGGGAGGGGAGATCACCTCAGGCGTTTGCAGCCCTGTTTTAAATCCATCCCCTTTGTGGCATTCCCTCTGGGATTGGAGCAGCCTTGTGCGCCCCCTGCTGCCAGACCCGGGTTATACCAGAAGCTTCTGGAGAAGAAGCATTAAGGGAAATTGTCCTAGGTTGATGTCTCCAGGTGAGATGTTTACAGGATTTATTTAAATTCAACAAACATTTCTTGTGGGTCTCTTGTGTGCCTGGACCTGTGCTAAGCACTGTGCGTACAGGGCCTGATGTAAATTTGCATCCTGGCCATGATCAGACCGAACTCAGACACCCAGGTTTTGGGATTAAGACGGGTGTGTAATGTTCTCCAAATAGTTGGGGCCCATACTATATAATTCTAGAACTTCCTGTTGATGGGAATATTTACTTAAGACTAAATGCTTGTAAAAATGATTAAATGTGTGCAAGTAGAGTGTTAATTACTGCAAACAGCTAGTGTGCACATTGATGGTTAGAACAGAGCACATGTTAAGTACACTGTGATGTTTGCATATTTAAAATCCCAAGCACACTAAGGATGTGAGATTCAATCAGGAGGCACAGAGCTAGCTCCTGTGTCCATCTGGCCTGGTTTGGGATGGAGCCAAGGTGACCCAGCACAGGGTCTGACGTATTGTAGAGTGTCATGTGCATTTCAGCAGAGATCAGATTTATTTATATATTTATTTTAAAAATTTTATTTTGTGTATAAGAACTGGGATATAGGCCAGAGGTGCCGGGGTGGGGGCTGTCATGGTGGGGGTGGTAAAGAATTCACTAGAGACAGAGTGAAGAGCAGAATAGGTGGATCTGCTGAGGGGAGTAGCGGGTGAGGCAGTGGTGTCTGCCATGTGGGTCACCTCTCTGGCCATGGATGGAACTCAGGCCTTAGTAGTGATAGCACTGAGACTTAACCCCTAGGCCAGCAGGGAGGCCCCAGCAGTCATCTTTCTAGTGAGTCGGGTATTTTGCTGTGTTTCTTCCTTGACAAGCAAGCGGCTGCCTTCCAAGATTTAATTTTTGGAGAAAAGGGAGAATGTGGACTTTGTTTTATCAGCTGCCACAGGGTGGACTGGATTAGGTGGTAGCCAAAAGCATTGGACGGGTTGACTAGTAGGTGTGGGAGTGAGGGGAGAGGGGGCACTGGATTCCTTCTCTTCACACTGTAGCATCCCTTTCAGGTCTGGGTCACTGGGCGGTGTCTGTAAGGCCAGCAGAGGCGCTATCCACCCAGGAACAAGGACAGACAGCTGTTTGGGCCACACCTTCCCTGAAGCTACTCCCTCTAGGCCCCTGTGAGGACATGTCTTAAAATTGTCAAAGCCAAAATACTATCAGTGTGTAAGAGAAAAGAGTTCCAGTGGAGAGTAAAACCCACCTGTCTCCCATCTTGGGCTCTTTTGCCCCAGGCTGGGTCTTCTGATGCTGGAAGAAGGGAGACCCCATTCAGCTTTCTCTGAGGGGTCCTGATATTCAGGGAACTCTGGGGGATTTCTCTGCTGCTGGAGGTGGGGCGGGGATGTTGGGATCTTCTTGAAAGTGGAAAAAAGGGAGAAAAAAATCAGAATTCTGTTGTTCCCTGACTCCTCTGTGTTGCTTCTTTTCATTTCATCTTTTGTTAATCAAATTTTACCAGACTCATTTGGGAGAGTCCAGGGTGGGAAAAAGAGATGTGACCTGGAGTTGGAGGTGAAGGTGAAAAGGTGGGATTTTAATTCTGAAGACTTGGAAGGAGCAAATCTTTTTTTTTTTTTAAGATTTTTTTTATTTATGCATACAAGAACTGGGGTACAGGCCAGAGGTGTGGGGGGTGAGAGGATTCACCGGAGACAGAGTGGGGAACAGAACAGGCAGATTGACTGAAATACACTGCTCTGGGGAACAGTGGGTAAGACAGGAGAGTTCTGCTGTGCCATGTGGGTAGGTCCCTGGCTGGGGATCGAACTCGTGCTGTAGTGGCTGTTAATAGCTTCATAGGTTGCATCTTAACCCCTTCCACCACCAGAGAGGCCCGGAAGGAGCAATACTAACTAACATCCCCTGGGGCTGGACTGTGAATGATTCTTTCCAGACCCCTGTCAGTGACTCGCTCATTCTGTAGGAAAGTAACACTAGAAAAAACTTCCAGCAAAAAGCAGGTCCAGAAGGGAGGGATAAATAACACTCCAATGCCAGTGTACTTGAGACTGAGCTCGAATCTAAGAGGATCAAAGGAACCC